CTGCTCAAAACTCCAACGCAATAAGATAGGTCTGGTCTTGTATGGAGTAAATATCTAAGACATCCAATACTTCTTCTATATTCTTTCTCATCAATTCTCTTTTCTTCTGGAGCTTTACTTAACTTCAGATTTGCACACATTGGTACCTGTACTGCATTACATTCTCCAAAACCAGTTTCTTCAAGAATTTTCTTTGCATACCTTTCTTGATTCAATAGAATACCATTCTCAGTTTGAGTAACTTCAATTCCAAGATAATAGGTGAGCTTTCCTAGATCACTCATTTCAAATTTTCCTGCCATTCCCTTCTTGAACTCTAGTATCATCTCTAAGTTGGATCCTGTGACAAGTAAGTCATCAACATAGACTGCTATAACAAGGAGCTCTTCTTGTTCCCTTTTCTGATAAATGGATGGCTCTTTTGAACATTTAACAAAACCCAATTCTATGAGAATTGTATTCAGTTTTGTGTTCCAGGCTCTAGGAGCTTGTTTAAGACCATATAGTGCTTTGTTCAATTTGTACACCTTGTTCTGACTTCCTTCTACTACAAAACCTTCTGGTTGTGTGACGTAGACTACCTCTTTCAATTCTCCATGAAGAAATGCCGTTTTCACATCAAGATGATGTACTTCCCAGCCGTAGGAAGCAGCTAGAGCAACAATGAAACGTATGGTTTCAAGACGTGCTACAGGTGCGAAGACTTCATCAAAGTCAATGCCATGTCTCTGCACATATCCCTTAGCTACTAGTCTTGCTTTATACTTATTTATGCTTCCATCAGCGTTTCTCTTGATCTTAAAAACCCATTTTAGGCCTATTGGCTTTGCATCTATAGGAAGATCTACTAGATCCCATGTTCTGTTTTTTTCTATAGAGGTGATCTCTTCTACACATGCATCTATCCATTCTTTAGATTCTTTTGCTTCACTGTAATCCCATGGCTCTTCATTGATAACCAGTAGCAGTCTTTCACTTTCATACTCTGCTAATAAGACATAGTCTTCTAGATAGCCTGGTTTCTTTGTTTCTCTTCCTGACCTTCTGAGTGTTGGTCCTGTTTGTTGTTGTTCTCTTGTTTCATCATCTTCAGAGTTTCCAATAGTTGAGATATGTTCTTCTTCTGGTTCATTATTCTTATCAACTTCATCATTCTCTGTTTCTGTTTCAGTAGTATTTTCTCTTATGCCATTGTTCCCAAATTCTCCAAAGCTTATCTCAAAGTTTGTATCCTTCTCAACATTATTCCACTTCCAGCTTGTTTCCTCATCGAATATAACATCTCTGCTTACTATTATCTTTTGCTTTGTTGGATCAAACAATCGATACGCTTTTGATCCTGGCTCAGTTCCTAAATGCACTAGCATTTTTGATCGATCATCAAGCTTCTTCAGATGAGCCGGTTCTGTTTTTGCATAGCCTATACAGCCAAAGACTCGTATATGTTCTATATTTGGTTTTTTTCCTTTGAATGCTTCGTAGGGAGTCTGGTGTATCAGTGTTCTTGTTGATACTCTGTTTATGATGTATGTTGCATGTCTGACTGCTTCCCCCCACAAGTAATTTGGGACATTCATGTGTTTTAAAATGCTTCTGGTCATTCCCATTAATGTTCTGTTTCTCCTCTCGACGACCCCGTTTTGTTGGGGAGAATATGGTGCAGTTAGGTGTCTTTGTATACCAGAGTCATTACAAAATGCTTGAAATTCAGCCGAAAGAAATTCACCACCTCTGTCAGTTCGAAATGTCTTGATAGTGGTCTTGGTTTCTTGTTCAACAGATGCTTTAAAACTTTTAAATTTTCTGAAGGCTTCACCTTTTTCTCTCAGTAGAAGTGTCCACATGTATCGTGAGTAATCATCAATTAAAACAAAGATGTATCGATTCTTTGATGGTGTAGGAGGTGTGATGGGTCCACAGAGGTCCCCATGAATGAGATCCAAAACACTTTCTGCTCTGAAAGAAGTTGCTTTGGGAAAAGATTTTCTTGTTTGCTTTCCAAGTAGACAAGAGGAACATATTTCTTTCTCTACTTTGATTTGTGGGATCCCAAAGACAAGTTCTTTCTCCACCATTGTTTTTAAGGTCTCTGTTCCAATATGTCCTAGCCTGGCATGCCACTTGCATTTTGATATCCCAATTTGTATGCTCTTATTGTTTTCAACTTCTAAATTTACCTTGTAGAGTCGATTTCTAGACCTTAGTGCTTTAACCAAAAGCTTGCCATCTTTGTCATAAAGAGTAAGATTATCGCCTTTCATTCTGACATCACAGCCTGACTCAGTGGCTTGACCTAAACTCACAATGTTACTTCTTAAGTCTGGGATGTAGTAGACATCATGTAGAATTCTTCTTTCTCCATTCTTTGCAACGAACGTTATTGAGCCCTTTCCTTTGATATCGATTCGAGAATCATCACCAAATCTGACTTTGCCAGTAAATGATTCATCAAGTTTAGAAAAATAAGCTAGTATACCTGTCATATGGTTGCTGGCACCATTATCTAAGTACCAAATGTTCTCATTGTCTGAACTGGTTTCAAACTTATTTGGTACACAGTTTTTTTCATTCAAATACACAACATCATGCATCATTAGAGCATCAGCTACTTGTGTGTCACCATTCTTTGAAGCATTGGCTTCTTGTGTTTCTTGAAGTTTAAGCAGTCTGTCAGGGCAATCTGATGCATAGTGACCTAGCTTATCACATCTATAACATGTTATTTTGCTTGTATCTCTGTTCTGTTGGTAACCATTGTTTTGAGGACAACCAGAACGACCTCTTCCTCTTCCTCGTCTGCCGCCTTGTCCTCTTCCTCTGTTTGTGTACCATGGTTGTGTCTCAGAACTGACATACATTAGTTTTCCTTGATCTTCTTGATTATCTTCTTCATCGCAGATTCTTTCCTCATACGCTTTTATCCTTCCAACTATATCTTCAAACGTAGTGTTGTTTAAATCAAGAACTTGTTCAAGTGCGGCTATTATATGTATGTACCTTTTCCTAGGTAATCCGTTTAGAAACTTCTTTACAAGCTTTGGTTCTTCGATGTCATGTCCAAGAGATTCAGATTTTGTAGACAGTTCTGAGATTCTACCAGCAAAGTCATCAATCTTCTCACTTTCTTTCATCTTTATTCTCTCAAACTCACCCATTAGGGTTTGTAATCTTGCATCTTTAACCCTATCAGCTCCTAGATTCCTAGATTTAATTGCATCCCATATCTTCTTTGCAGTGTTTAGTTTCCCGACTTGCAGTGTTAATGCTTCAGGGATAGATTGCAGAAGAAGAGCACTAGCCATGTTGTTCTTGTCAATATCCTCTGATCCAGGTTCTATAGCCTCCCAAACTTTATGAACTTTGAGTGCCATAGTCATACGTATAGTCCAAAACGTGTAATTTGTAGGATTTAACATCGGGCACTTAATAGAAGAGGAACCTCCTCCTTCTTTGGTAGTCGCGGGAATCAAGTCTCCCATGTTTCCTTATGGATCACCTTCTCGTGATCGTTCTCTGTTATCAACTCTGTTTTCTCGTGATCGTGATCTCAAGCTCTGATACCAATTCTTGTATCAAAACCTTAAAGAGCAAAACAAACAAAGGCTATGAAGATGTAAAAGACTCTCTCTTTTATTAGTATGGAAACTGACTCAAAACCATACATTCATAACCCTAAACACACAAAGCTCTCATATCTCCTAATGTCATAACTTGACCTCTATTTATAGGAGAATACAATTCCTAACCCTAATAGAAATTACAACATATTAGATATATTAGATAACTCCTAATACAATCTAATCTTTATCTCAAAATATCTAAACTCTCCTTTTAAAACTAGAGACTTTTATCTCAAGTTATCTTCACAATCTTCAAGCTTATACAACAACTTAAATAATTTAGAGTTACTTCTAGGCTTAGTCTATTAGCCGAAGCATGTCTCTCGCTGCTGATATTCCCTATCTTGAGTGGGATGCGATTTCAAAAATGATTCACAACTATGAAAAATAAAAAAGCTAAGGAGAGGCATTTTCATGGATGCTTACTCCAAAAGATTCTGATTTCTTTCATCAAAATTATTGTGCTTCTATATCTGGATTCCCTGATTGTTTTTCACCAATTCGATTTAGATTTTTAAATGAGGTAAATCCTCTAACAAGTCATGTTGTGTGTAACAGCATCATGTTTGAACCCCTGTTCTATAAATCCCCGCCTAACCCGATTACTCCCCGATTAATCGCTAGACCCACCATATCTGTCTCGATTAATGACTAATCTCTTAAAGAAATCAGTCACCCGATTACTTTCCGCCTAATCCGATTACTTCCCGCCTAATCCGATTATTCCCTTCCTAATCTTACACACCCCGATTATTTTTAGATTGCTAGTATAAAAAACTTTTTATTTTTGTTATTCAATCATTTGAATGGGAGTTTCTAATGTTTTAAAGTAACTTATGTTCAAATTTTAATAAAAATCATAAATTTGTAATAAAAATTATAAAAAATTGTCTCAAAAATACATTTTTATATGTTTAATGCAATTTTGAAAATAATATTATATTAATATGTTTCAAAAATATTAAAATAACCCTAAAACTAATCCCCGATTAATTTCCGATTTTAATCTGATTTTTCGATTAATCGCTACGCCATGTCGACCGTCTAACTAGCGCCAAACGATTTTTCAAACAATGATCCTAAACTACAATTAATGGGCCTGAACCTCACTGGGCCGACATTCTGCTTTTTAAAAAGTGATACGTGTTGTCTTAAAAGACACGTGACTTTAAAGATTCAAGAGACGTGGCAAAACAGTAATCTCCTCTCTTGTACCGCCATTTCAACGTAGAAAAATCTTTTCCGTAGACAACTCCGATATTTGACACGTGTATGTTTATTCACCGTGATATAAATTAAACGAGAAATATCTGGATTATTTGTGAATTATTATATCCACATACACAAATATTAAATCAAGCAATAAATATAATCGAAGAATTTAAGAGAATCACAAATAAACCCAATTCAGGAAAAAGATTTCATCTTTCTTTGCTTTTCAGTTTTTCATCTAGTCGGTTGTTTCCTTTTCCAGGTTTCAATCGAAAATTCTCTCTCTTTATTTTCGATTTGATCTGGGTTTCATTGTACATAGATCGATCTTCAAGTTTCGTCATCTGGGTCGTGTAAATTTTTAGACTTTTAGGGTTCTTTTACTTGTAAAGTTTCTCTCTTTTCTAATGGATTCTCTGGGTAATTGATCGATTAGGGTTGAAGATTTTAGCGGTGGGAAAGCTGTTTGGTTCTTGAATTCTATCTTGTTTAAGGTCTCTTGCAGCTTTCTCACAGGTTTTGGGATTGTAGTAGGGTTTGAGAATCATAGATTGGTAGTGATTTGGGATTGAATTACGAGGTTATTGGTTGGGTAGGAGTTTCTTGATTCTCTCATCATGGCGGATGCTATTGGTGCTGTATCTTTGGTGGGTCATCGACCGTCGATTGTCAGGATTACTGTGAAGAATGAATCGAAAACGCAGAAATCACAGAACATTGTTCGATTTCCGGTGAAGGTAGATTGTAGTGCCAAAGGGGTTCTCTCTCATTTGATGATGCAGAGTGTGAAAAAGAATCGAATGTCGGTGTTTCCGATCAGGGCTCTTGCTATGGAACTGACGAAAGAGATGCCTGCGTTTAAGAAGAAAGACGAGCGGTTACCGAAAACTTGGAATTACCTTGATTCTGGAGCGGATGATAATCCCAGTTTATGGCCTCCTGAGAACAAAGCTGATAAGCCTTCTTTGCATAATCCTTTACTTAGGCAAGAGCGGATGGGTTGTGGTTGGTTAGGTGCGATATTTGAATGGGAAGGGGTATTGATTGAAGACAATCCTGACCTCGATAACCAATCATGGCTGACTTTAGCTCAGGAAGAAGGGAAATCTCCTCCTCCGGCTTTTATGCTCAGACGTGTTGAAGGGATGAAAAACGAGCAGGCGATATCTGAGGTTCTGTGTTGGTCGAGAGATCCTGTTCAAGTGAGAAGGATGGCTAAGCGTAAAGAAGAAATCTTTAAAGCTCTACATGGAGGAGTGTATAGACTGAGAGATGGGTCGCAGGAGTTTGTGAATGTCTTGATGAATAATAAGATCCCAATGGCTTTGGTATCGACTCGTCCCAGGGAAACATTAGAGAATGCAGTTGGATCGGTAGGTATCCGAAAGTTCTTCAGTGTGATAGTTGCATCAGAAGATGTTTACAGAGGTAAACCGGATCCTGAGATGTTCATTTACGCAGCACAGCTTCTTGATTTCATTCCAGAACGTTGCATTGTATTTGGAAACTCAAACCAGACCATTGAAGCGGCTCACGATGGGAGGATGAAATGTGTGGCTGTGGCGAGTAAACACCCTATTTATGAGCTTGGTGCAGCTGAGCTGGTGGTAAGAAGACTAGACGAGTTATCCATTATTGATTTGAAGAAACTTGCAGATACCGATTTGACGGAATTCGAACCGGAATTGGAGATGGAAAAGGAAGATGAGCGTGAGCTCCCTTCATCGGCTGTAGCAGTTGATGATAACTTCTGATGGAAGTGATCTTCTGTAATATTGTACAGTTTTATGGATTTGGAATTCTTCCTCGTGTAATTCTCACAATGTTATAGTTTCTGTGTATAATTCGAACAGGTTAAACGAGGGATAAATATAAATGTATACTCTTAGTTTTAATGTTGTATATACGTTATCTCATTTGTTCGAAACAACAAACAAAGCTTTTCAATATTTCAGAATTGAAATTCCTTTATCTCATCATTCTGCCAATCCTCAGAGAGATACGACCAGGAGTAGCGACGTTGATTTTTGCAAATCCTGCAATCTTGAGTACATGTGATGAATTTTTCAAGCTTCTGAGTAGGGGCTTGTACAAAATAGTCATCAGGCACCGTGTCAGGAATCATACCCAAGTATATGCAATGTGAGAGATTAAGAACCGTGAGGTTTTGGAGGCCTGTAATTAGCGAAATAAGTCCTGTAGTCCTGACGAAAGAGCATCGCAAACTCAACCTCTTGAGGTTCGGGAGGTACATCACGATTTTCTCAACATTGGCGTTTTGCAAATAACCCAAATATTTGAAGTTTGTAAGGTTACTGCAGTTTTCTCCCACAGTATGAAAGTCGAATGTCCCGGTGCGAAGCTGATAATCTTGAGCGATGATTAGTGTTTTAAGATTCTTCCATCGACTGAACACAAACTGAAATGACTCCTCGGTTTTATAGCACCAGACCGGTAAAACAAGCTTCTCTATGTTTGGCATCCTGAGAAACAAAACAAAACAAAACTGAGATCATCCTTTTGTATATGACGTAAATCATGATTCATTTGTTACCTCTCAGCAGCGAACATGAGATCCTCTGTTTGTACATAGGAATTGAAGTGAAAGAACAAATTCTTCGGGTTCATGCGGCTCAGCTTGGTGATCTCAACCAGTAGATCCCTGAGAGTTAGGCGTAACACACTAAAGTCAAAGAAGAAGTTGCTGATTTTAATATAAAGACTCCTAAGGTTTAGGCCCTCTGCGACTTCTTCGTCAACCCGGTGCTCGTAGAAGATGATTGGTCGCACTCTATCCTTATACTGGACAAAATAGGAGAAGTCCAATTGTTGGAGCTTGGAGAGATCGACGGTGTGCCACAGAGTTTTGTTGTGAGAAGCAAGGAACCAAGAAGTACATACGCGTGAAACTCCCATAGTAATGTCCATCATGTCGAGCTTATCGAAAATAATGGCGAGTATGTCTCTGTGCAAAGTTTCCCATTTTGAAACTTCTCCTGACCTGTCTATCTTCTCCATCACTTTACAACTGCAAACAGAGAAAAAAGGTTGAAATTTTTTTCAATAGATGGATTCTTGAATTCACAATAAAGCTTGAAGAACAAATAACCTTGCAAAATGTTCATATCTTTGAACAATGTAATTCCTCGGAAGACAAGTAGTCGAATTTGTCGTAGATGGCGAATTTTCAAGTAGCCCCTTAAGACCGTCTGATATCTCCATCGCAACTAAAACTGAATTTGAATGAAAAACACTGAAATGAAAAATCTCAAACCACTTTATAGCAGATTGATATCTCTCTTGGGCAATCTGTCGAACACCTTCTATGCATAGGAAAAAAAACAAAGGTTAGATTTTTGATTCGTTTCTATGGCGAGTATGGTTCAAAATCTCAACTTTTTGCAGCTCAAATCTCTCAATCTCACAATCAATCGAACAAGAAATCAAACGAAGTAAAAACAAGAGATATAAGAAATTGTTAAACCTAGTTCAATCCGTCGATGTGAAGAGATCTACGTCTATGGATAGATTCTATCGAGAAAATCATTATGAAAGATCATTGTTACACTCAAGAGCAACAACGAGCATCAGAGCTTAAGCTTTCACAGGACGAAGAGAAAGTTTCGGGTCAAAAGAGAAGAAGAAGAAGAAGAGAACTCTCTAAACCAAAAAGAGTCTTTGAATTGTCTTATTCTTCAATCTTCAAACAAACCAGCTGATGTCTTAACCAACTCTTATTTCTGCCTAACCAAGTCGACATCAGACATAGCAAACCGGGAATTTGATCATAAACAATCAAACCGGGAATTTCTGGTAGGGTAAATTTCTTACCTTTGCCATTCCTATGGACGATACTACTAGTTCTTACCTTTTTTGGTAGGAAAAAGTAAAATCTTAAATCAAAGCTAATTAAGTTCCAAAAAAAAAAGTAGAGAATTAAGGAAATTTAGCTAACGTAAGGAAATTTAAATGGAAAATCTAACGTAAGGAAAATTTCTACAATAATTAAACGAATAAAGCACAAAAAAAAAATCACCAAGTAATGAACGTATATATGACGAATAAAGCACAAAAGTATTAAAAGTGTGTATGTAAATATGTAATGTTTTAAAAAATACAAAATTTATACATCAAAGCAAATAATTACTGAGTAATGAACCTATGATGATTGATGAGACCTACCTCAGACTCAATTTGCGTTAAACAAGTGGTTCATTTTTTGTGGGTTTTTTCAAACGTAATTAAATTTCTTTTGTTATATGTAGTAACTTTCTTATTTTGGAGATACGTTGGTTTGTCCATTTTTCTTCAAAGCTTTAAATATAATATGGAACTACCTCAATATACTGATTTTATGTCTATACAATTCACTCAGGATTCTAAAATGAGTTTTCGTTTTTTTCACTTGTAATAGCTTACATCTAGCTCAAGAAGTCAAGAGTAACATTTTTCTCATCGTTATGTGTGGATGCACGATAACATGAACACGATTTATCAAATGAAACATACACATCTTGTAATGGAAGAGTTTTACATGTATAGTAATAACTAATAAGAGTCACATATATAAGGTAATTGTGAAATAGAATCCTATAAAATTTTCTGAAAAATACCAGCAAATTGAAGCTTTTCAAAATCTCAGAATTCAAGTTCTTTAATCTCATCATTCCGCCAATGCTTCTCGTAAAAAGCATCTGATTCTAATGCGCGAGATCGATCTTCGCATAACCTGCAACCGACTTTCGAACACATGATTAATGTGTCAATCTTCCGAGTGGCGATTTTTATGAAACTCTCCTCGAATAAAGAACCCTTCACTAGGGTTTTGAGCACACAATGTGAGAGATTAAGGATCGTTAGGTTTTGGAGGCATGTGATGAATAAGGAAACTTCTTGAACAGAGTCGATGACACAACATCTCATACTCACTCTCTTGAGCTTTGGGAGGTAACGCACAATTTCCTCAGTTAGATATTTGTCGACATGACCCGAAAGTTTCAGATTGGTGAGGTTTGTACAATTTTCTCCGACGACTCGAACACACTTGACCATCCCCTTGAGGAAGAAGTGTGGAGAGATGATTAATGTGTGAAGGTTCTTCCATTGACTGAATGCAAGTTGATATGCATTCTCACTTATATTGCACCACTGAGATAAGACAAGTTTTCTGATATTTGGCATCCTGAAAATCAAGAATTATAAGAGAGGAGGAAAATCTTTCTTTTTCGGTTTCTTGGGTTCTAAGGAGTATATGAGATTTACCTCTCAAAAGCAATGATGAGATCCTCATCTTCTATGAAGGAATAGAAGTTGAAGAACAAATTGGTCGGGGCGGTACCACTGAATTTGGTAATTTCAAGCAAAACCCTCCTGGGATTGTGTAGACCTTCTATTACGTTTTGGGATTCGAACCGCAAGTTTTGTAGTCGAGGATGCTTGAAGTCGGCAAGTTGGAGATTGGCGAGGTTGATGGTTTTCCATAGAGATTTTTGGTGAGCGACAAGGAACCAAGTGACGCAGACGCGTGATGCTCCCATGGTAATATCCACTACGTTGAGCATCTCGAAAATCTTGGCTAAAATATCTCTATCCATATTCTCCCATCTCGGAACTTTTCTTGATCTCATGACCATCACACCACAGCTACAAAAGCGAGAAAGAAAAACATATAATTATTTAGATAGACTATGAATTAGTAGATTCTTGAATTTATAGAACAATATAAATAGAGGAGGAAAAAAAAACATTGAGCGAAGGACAGATTTCATAGAGAGTGTCCATCTCTGGGTTCTTCTTGCACCATAAAATCTTTCCATCTCAATGCCCCTAAAAAAAATCTACTAGAGATTTTGAAGGACTAAAGAAAAATGAAGAAAACAATGAATTTATATGAAAACCTGCATGGACATAACTTCTACACAACACAATGAGCAACTTTGAATATGTGTACCTAAGGATCAAGAATAAGTCTCCAAACATATCATATGCATGCCCATAAATGTATAATTACACAAACCTAATCATTTGTCGTCATTTGTTTGCAGATTTTGTCAAAAGTCAAAACTGGAAAGCAAGTTTGATAGTACACATATTCCCTCAACTACCATTTTAAACATAACGCGTTAAAGCTCTCGACGATTATATATCTTTTTCCTTAAATGTGTTACGGATTTCCTCACGTTCATCATGCGGTTTATTAGGATGCACGCAAACATTAACATATTAAAGAAATGGCTTATTGATATATATATATATATATGAAAGCATAATTTATTAAATGAAACATTCACACCTTGCAATGGCAGTGGTTTATTAATCATACGTATAGTAGTAAGACTATATATAAGATTCACACATATACTGAAAATGTTGATTCTGTACTAGAATCCGATCATTTGCTCAAAAATATCAACAAAGCTTTTCGAATTTTCAGAATTTAAGCTCCTTTATCTCAACAAAGTGTACGAGGCCAAGCGAAGCTACGTTGATCTTTGCCAATCCTACAGTTTTGAGTACATGTGATTAATTTTTTTTAGCTTCTGTGTGGGGACTTGTACAAAATAGTCAGTAGGCATCGTGTCAAGATACGGATTCAAGTATACGCAATGTGAGAGATTAATGATCCTAAGGTTTTGTAGGTATTTATGTTTCTGTCTAGATCTTCCCATTTTGAAACTTCTCTTGATCTGTCCACCTTCTCTATCACGTTACAACTACATAAAGTCAAAAGAGAAAAATGTTGAAAACATTTTAGATAGATAGATACATGAATTCACATAAAGCTTGAGAAGAAGAGAATGAGCTGATGGAAATTGATCAACTTGTTCTCTTTATGAAGATCACGACCATGGCAATCAAGTTGATTTTGTTCTTGAAGGCTTGCACAAAAGAGTACAAGTAAAAACAGAGTTTTTGACAAAAACTAGATACTTAATGAAGCATATGATCTATCAGATGAAACAATATTGTAATGGCAGTGGTTAATGTATATGTAAGAACAACTCATATAAGAAAGATGAAGTTGTGAAATAGAATCCGATAACTTGTTCAAACACATCAACAAAACTTTAAATTTCAGAATTCAAGTTCCTTTATCTCATCATTACACCAACTTTTCTCGTAAAAACCATGTAGCCGGAGTACGTTAGGTCGATCTTTGCAAACCTTGCAATCGTTTTCTGAACATATGATAAACTTTTCAAGCTTCTGAGTGGCAGCTTGTACAATAATATTCATCGTGATAGGATTATAATCCAAGTATTTGCAATGTGTCACGTTAAAGATCACGAGGTTTTCAAGGCCTCTTATTAGCGAGAGAACTCCTTCAACGGTGACCAAAGAGCATTGTAAACTCAACCTCTTGAGGCTCTGGAGGTAACGCACGATTTCCACAGCATCTTTGTTATCCAAATAACCCATAATCTTCAAGTTATTCAGGTTACTGCAGTTCTCTCCCACAACTCGAAACTCAAATGTGTACGGCCAGATGAAAAAGTCATTATGAGCCATGATCAGTGTTTTAAGATTCTTCCACTGACTAAACGCAAACCTAAATGAGTTCACCGCATTACACAGTGACCATGAAACCGGTAAAGCAAGCTTCTCTATGTTTGGCATCCTGGAAAACAAAAAATACGTATGAGATATATATTTGTTTTTATTATTTAGTTATAAAGATGAGATTTACCTCTCAGCAACAAACATGAGATCCTGCTTTTTTATATTGGAATAAAAGTTAAAGAATAAATTCTTTGGGGCCGTGCGACTCAACTTAGTGATCTCAATCAATAGATTCCGGAGTTTTATGCCTTTTACTTCACAAAAATTAAAGAAGAAGTGGCTCATCTTAATTAAAAGATTACTAAATCTTAGGGCTTCTTCTACTTCATCGTCAACCCTGTATTTGTAGATGACGTTTTTGCCCTTGTGTTGGAACTTGGAGAGGTCGATGGTGTTCCATAGAGTTATGTTGTGAGAGACAAGGAACCAATAGATGCATACACGTGAAGCTCCCATGGTAATGTCCATTATGTCGAGCTTATCGAAGATAATGGCAAGTATGTTTCTGTCTAGAGTTGCCCATTTTGAATCTTCTCTTGAGCTGTCTGCCTTCTCCATCACGGTGAAACTATACATACAACAACAAAAGAGAGAAAAAAAGGTTGAAAATATTTTTAGATTGGATTCTTGAATCGACCTAAAAGCTTGAACAAGTGAAAGATAAGAAGAAAATCTATGAAAAAATTAAAATCTATGAAGAATGAGTGATTTCTTACGTTTGCATATTCCACAAGGACGGAAGTAGTCCTAAATTTGATAAAAAAACATAGTCCTAACAATTTTATAGACATTCCAAATTGCCAAGTTATAGGATATACACTCTGAGTTTCTTCAACGGCAAGTAACTATATCTTTTAATTTTATTTTTTTCTTATTTCCTTTAGTTATTGTATAAAATTTCCTTAAGTTGGATTTTCCATTTGTTGATACGCTAGATTAATTTCAATAATTCCATTTTCTTGGGCTAATTAAGTCATAAAAACTTCAAGTAAAGATCTCAGAGATTTCTTGGCAACTAAATATATTATTTTTAACCTAGGTTTTACATTTAATTTCTTGGGGATTTATATTACCTTTTGTGTCCGTTTTTAGCTATATATTTATATGAGCTTTTGTAATGATATTTTAATCAATTTTTTAAGTAAAATTTAAAATTTACATGATATACCATCGAATTTTAGTTTTTTTTTTTATAAAAAAAAATTCATCAAGGGTATAATTATAATCAGTAAATAGACATATGTATTAATTAAAAATCCACAAAAAATATTTATGGTAATTATTAATTTCTAAAAAACACAGAAATATATATTTAATATCCAATCAAATAAAAAAGACTTGATATTCAGTTATATCATATGAATTTATTATGTTCACCCTTTCATATTTGTTTTGATCATATACATACTGTTAAATACACTAAATAAAAATATTTAGATTTTTTTAGCATATGTTACAACTCGAATTTTTTAAAACGAACATTTACATTATAGATAGGGTTGATGGTTTTACGAACATCTTAACATTATGCAAGGCAAAGTATGGACGGGTTTGTGATATCGATCTTAGACTAATTCAAATTCTTCTTATTCCATACCCATTACATCTCTTCTCACAAATTTCAGAAAGCAAGTTCCTTTATCTCATCGTTCCTCCAATCCTCAGCGTGATACGACCAGGAGTAGCAACATTGATGATCTTTGCAAATCCTACAATCCTGAGGACATAAGATAAAATTTTCAAGCTTCTGAGTGGCGGTCGTTATAACAAAATCGTCTCTAGATCTCGTGATAGCATGGAAGTACGAGTTTTTGCAATGTGAAACATTAAGCATCGTGAGGTTTTGAAGGCCGATGATTAGACAGTAAACTGCTTCATAACTAACCAAAGAGCATCGCAAACTCAACCTCTTGAGGCTCTGGAGGTAAGGCACGATTTCCCTGGTCTTGTATTCTTCCAAATGACCTAAATATTTTAAGTTGGTTAGGTTACTACAGCTCTCTCCCACAGCTTTAAAGTCGAAAATCCCGGTGAAAGAGTGTTCATGAGCGATGATCAGTGTTTTAAGATTCTTCCATTGACTGAAAGCAAACCGCAATGACTTCTCTGTTTGATAGCACCAGATTGGTAAAGCAAGTTTCTCTATATTTGGCATCCTGAAACAAAACAAAACAAAAAGGTATGAAACACAAGCGGTGAAAGCAGATCTGATTTGAGATGATTCATTACGTAAAGATGAGATATACGTCTCAGCAGCAAACTTGAGACCATTTTCTTGTATATAGGAATTAAAGTTAAAGAATAAATTCTTCGGGGTCATGCGGCTCAACTTGGTGATCTCAATCAACAGATTCATGAGACTAATCCCGATAATCCCGCTTTCTACTTCATACAAGTCAAGAAAGAACCAAGAGATGAACTTAGTCAAAAGATTCGTAAGGCCTTCATCGTCGTCAACCCGGTGCTTGTAGAAGAAAATTGGTTTTTCTTCATCCTTAAAGTTGAAACTGCGGGAGACATCTAACTCTTGGAGACTGGTAAGATCGACCGTGTTCCACAATGTTTTTTTGTGAGAGGCAAGGAACCAAGAGATGCAGACACGTGAAGCTCCCATGGTAATGTCCATCACTTCGAGCTTATTGAAGATAAGTTCAAGTATGTCTCTGTTTAGATCTGCCCATCCTGAAACTTCTCCTAAGCTTTCTACCTTGTCCATCACGTTACAACTGCATAAAAAAGAAAGAAAAAAAAGAGACAAAAAAAGATTGAAAACATTTTAGATAGATGGATTCTTGAATTTACATAAAGCTTGTACAAGAGAAAGAGAGTACTTTTCATTGACTTCTTCTATGTAATGGGAAAAAGGGTCTAAGGTTCGAATAGTCTGTGCTTTTAAGTTGTAAGCACTATCTTTAGTGATTTAGATTGAGTTATAAGCAAATTCCCAACTTAGAAAAGATATTTTATATCCATAAACAGAAGAAAATAATTAATAATATTAGAGTAAATAAGTCATAATCTATAGCAAGGTGGGAGAACTTAGCTTGGAGAACTACTGTGCTTAGCTTTTAGGCCACGTTCTGGCGAAGAAGAAATTTTAGTAACGATTCACATATATATTCTTTCTTTTTGTGAAAAAAATTAATTAGGGTTCTTTCCTTTTAATTAAGTTAAAATACCAAAACTATCTCATCTTGCCGTGTTATTTCCATTATAACGATTCCAAAATCAGAATCAGACAAAAAAAAAAATGATTTCACAACGGAAATAAGTGTTTCCAAAAAGTTTATTTTGAAGATATTAGTGGGTCTTCACGACCACGCTCGGTTAGGCTGTAATTTATTTTCGGTTATGAATAAATGGGGGAGACATTGTCTCCCCTCTGCTTACCAAAAAAAAAAAAAGTGTTTCCAGAAAGAAACCTTAAGACCGGTTGCGTAAGAACCACTTTCCCACTGGGGTAGATGGGCAAGCCCATTAACTTCACTATGGGTTGCTGCCTCTTTATTTCTACTTATTACTTAAGGGCAACATGAGACCTAAAAATATTTAAGGTTTCTCTAAACAAAAGAGAGTGAGAGTAGTAACCATGAGTCAATCCAAGAAGAGTAAAATGGAGAACAATTCTCAGTCTCTTGAAATCTCAAAAGAGAATCACTTCGCTGATGTTCGTTTGGACCTAATGATCGAGATATGTATGAGATTTCCTGTGAAATCAGTAGCTAGGTTTCTCCTTCTCTCAAAGTTTTGGGCCGCAATGATCTGAAGTCGACATTTCATCACGTCTTTCCAGGTTAGGTCAATGTCGCAGCCTCGTCTACAAGTACAAGTCGTTTTCATGGATTTGGATAGACAAAAGAAATGCCAAGATTGGTACTTCTTCTCGCTGTCTTCATCAACAACGTCTTATTTATCACGTGTTACATGTCCTTATCCAGATTCTGTGAGTATTGCGTTCTATTCTCATTATGTTTAATGGCTTGATAAGCAGGGCCAGCCCGACACTGTTGGGTGCCTAAAGCAATTTTTTTTTTTTGCCCTTAAAAATATAAAAGTAAGGGCTAAATGTTACTACAAAGACTTGAACTTCTGATATGAAGCACTATTAAAGAAGGAGCCAGCCACTGGATTAAAGGGAAGTTTTATATTTTGATGCCCTTAAATTCTTATATAATATTTGGCGCCTAAAGCCCTTGCTTGTTGGGCTTTAGGTCAAGGCCGGCCCTGTTGATAAGCCTTGGATATGGTCTAGAGAAATGCATAGCTAACCCTAGCACCGATACCTCCACGGTTTTAGGTAGAGTCCAAACTAGTAGTACGAACGCACAAAGTTTTTTCGGGTACGATCAGGTTAACGATGAATACAAACTATTGGTAATGTGCATGAGCATGAATGGACCTCCTGGTCGTCGAATATCATCTAATCATCAAGTAGTCACATTGGGAGCTAAAAACAAACCATGGAGAATGATTGATTATATAACTCCTCACCAACCTGTGTTTAACAGTGTATGCATAGATGGTGTTTTGTATTATGTTGCTTTTACGGGCGATAAGTTTTCACAAGTGAGCTTAATGAGATTCAATTTGAGGTCTGAAAAGTTGGATATTTTTACTAGTTTATCCGCGGACTTTTGAACCGAATTTCTACATGGTTCCACTTTAATGAGCTATAAGGGAAAAGTAGCCTTAGCCACTAAAACTCCAAGTTATAAATTTGAACTGTGGATTTTGGATCAGCATGCCGAAGCACATGGATGGTTGAAGAAAAGTTTCAGTATCAATAGTTGGAAGATGTTATTACGGTTGGATAATTTATTTATCAGGAGCACTACTCATACAGGTGATTTTATTTTGGCACCACGGTACTATTCTAATAAATTTTATGTTATCCATTATAATCCGGACACAAATAGTTTTAGAGAAAGTATTGTAATTAACTGTGAGGAAGAAAATGAAAATGAGCAGACGGGAAAATTTGAGAACTAATGAGAGATACAAGTCAATGAGTGAGAAACAAACATCGATGGAGTGTTGGTTTAAGCTTGAGAAGTAAACCGACAATTACTTGAACCGCAAGGCAACGGTTTAATGAAGTGATAAGGCTAGATCTTTTAGGAGTTATCTATAAGATTTAATGTAATCCTAGTCGAGTTATGATTAGGGTTTTGAGGTTTACTATATAAGCATATATCGGGTTGTGATATAGCTTATGAGAATTGAGAGAGATTAAGAAGAACTTTAGTTTGAGTTAGTTCTAAAGTTAATAAAGAAGGTATTTTCTTAAGCGTGTTCTTAACTTCTTATTCATATTATTCAATTCTAGATTTGGTATCAGAGCTATCTAGCTTTGTTTCTAAACGTGTGAGATATGAGTGAATTGGCCACGACGAGTAACAAACCAAACGAGGGAGGACCTTCATCTATAAAATGTCCGATGTTAACAACTTCCAACTATACAGTTTGGGTCATGAGGATGAAGGCAGCCCTCCGAGTCCATAAGGTGTGGGAAACAATCGATCCCGGTTCCAACGACGTAGAGAAGAATGATATGGCCCGTGCTCTATTGTTCCAATCTATACCAGAGTCGATGATCCTACAAGTTGGAGAACATGAAACTGCAAAAGGTGTCTGGGATGGCATAAAAGCCAGAAACCTTGGTGCTGAACGAGTGAAAGAAGCAAGATTACAGACTCTTATGAATGAGTTTGATAGGCTGAAGATGAAAGAAAGTGACACAATTGATGACTTTGCAGGGAGAATCTCTGAGATTTCTACAAAAGCAGCATCCTTAGGGGAAAATATTGAAGAAACAAAGGTTGTTAAGAAGTTTCTCAAGAGCTTACCTAGGAAGAAATATATCCATATAATCGCAGCCCTAGAGCAAGTTCTTGATCTCAAGAAAACAACCTTCGAAGATATTGTAGGAAGACTCAAAACATACGAAGATAAGAGTTTGCGATGAGGAAGACTCACAGGAAGATCAAAGCAAACTCATGTATGTCAGCTCAGAGTCACAAGATGGAGGCAAAGGAAGAGGCCGCGGTTGTTTTGGAAGAGGCCGAGGCAGATTTGGTTACCAATCCAGAGAATATGGATATCAACAGAAAGAGTTTGTTCAAAGAGACAAGCCCAAAGTGACTTGTTACCGATGTGACAAAACAGGGCATTATGCTTCTAACTGTCCGGATAGGCTTTTAAAATTGATCAAGCTTCAAGAGACACAAGAGAAAGAGGAAGATGATACTGAAGACGCAGAATCTCTTATGATGCACGAAGTAGTATACTTGAATGAGAACAATGTGATACCTAAAAACTTTGAAGTGTGTTCTGAAAAAACTTGGTATCTTGACAATGGGGCGAGCAATCACATGATAGGACAGCGTGCTTGGTTTTACAAGATGAATGAGAGGGTCACAGGTAGAGTAAGATTCGGAGACGATTCGTGTATTGACATAAAAGGAAAGGGCTCGATACTCTTCTTGACTAAAACTGGTGAAAGAAAAATCCTAGAAGATGTGTATTACATACCCGATCTCAAAAGTAATATCATAAGCCTAGGACAAGCCACTGAGTCAGGGTGTGACATTCGGATGAAAGAAGAGTATCTAACCCTACATGACCGAGATGGAAATTTGCTAGTAAGAGCAACAAGATCAAGAAATCGATTGTACAAGGTAATTTTAGAAGTTGAAGAAACTAACTGCTTACAGCTTGTAACATCAAGCGACTCAACTATATGGCATGCTCGTCTTGGACACATCAATCTTGAGACACTTAAAACAATGGTTGCAAAAGAGATGGTTAAAGGAATACCAACTGCTCCAAAAGTAAAAGAAACATGCCCATCTTGCTTACTTGGAAAACAAACAAGGAGAACGTTTCCAAAAACAACTGTGTATCGGGCATCACACATTCTTGAGTTGGTGCATGGTGATCTCTGCGGTCCTATATCACCTCTACGGCTGCTAGAAAGAGGTACGTATTCGTATTGATAGATGATCATTCTCGCTACATGTGGTCAATTTTGTTACAAGAGAAAGGAGAAGCATTTGAGAAGTTTAAGAATTTCAAGAAAAGAGTTGAGCAAGAGAGTGGTGAAAAAATCAAAACATTGAGAACAGACAGAGGAGGTGAATTTTTATCTCATGAATTTCAAGATTTTTGTGAAAAAGAAGGAATCAACAGGCATTTAACCGCACCATATAGCCCTCAAAAAAATGGAGTGGTTGAAAGAAGAAATAGGACTTTGCTAGAGATGACTAGAAGCATTCTGAAACATATGAGTTTGCCTAATTATTTATGGGGAGAAGCTGTCAGGCACTCAACATATCTAATAAACCGAGTAGGAACTAGAGCCTTAGTTTACCAAACTCCATATGAAGCATTCAAGAACAAGAAGCCAAACTTAGAGCATGTGAGAGTATTCAGATGTGTTAGCTATGCCAAAGTTGATGGACCACATTTACGAAAACTTGATGATAGATCGAGAGTTCTCATACATCTCGGGACAGAACCTGGCTCAAAGGCATACAGACTACTTGATCCAACCACTCGGAAAATCACAGTAAGCAGAGATGTCATCTTCGATGAAAGCAAAAGTTGGAAGTGGAAAGACTCCGAGAAAACTAGTCAAGAAACGGGAACTTTTATATTCAGTTTTGGAGAGTTTGGTAATCATGGAATTGATGATAATGGAGCTAATCAAGAAACAGAGGAAAACAGAGATGTTGAGAACGGATCCGACAGAGAGGAAGCAGAAGGAGCTGACGAATTCGAGACTGACAATGCTGAAACTGAGCAGCCACAACCTCCACCGTTGCTAAGAAGGTCTGAGAGACAAGTTACAAGGCCAACCTATCTAAGTGACTATGTATTACTCGCAGAAATAGAAGGAGAACAGCTTCTACTTATGTTGAATGAAGAACCATGTGATTTCAGAGAAGCAAACAAATCGCAAGAGTGGAGAAATGCGTGTGAAGAGGAGATCATGTCTATAACAAAGAACAAAACTTGGAGTCTTGTTGATCTCCCTGTTGGAAGTAAACCCATTGGTCTTAAGTGGGTTTTTAAACTAAAACGTAACTCAGATGGGAGCATAAACAAACACAAGGCAAGATTAGTAGCAAAAGGATACGTGCAAAAACATGGAGTTGATTTCGATGAAGTCTTCGCCCCTGTAGCTCGAATTGAATCAATCCGTCTTATCATTGCCTTAGCAGCCTCAAACGGGTGGGAAATACACCATTTAGACGTAAAAACCGCCTTCCTTCACGGAGAACTGAAAGAAGATGTTTATGTTACTCAACCAGAGGGTTTTGTAACCAAAGGAAGAGAGGAAAAGGTCTATAAACTACACAAGGCTCTTTATGGCTTGAGACAAGCACCAAGGGCATGGAACACCAAACTCAACAAGATCTTGAGAGATTTGAACTTTGAAAAATGTTCTAAAGAACCCTCCCTTTACAGAAAACAAGAGAAGGATACTCTCCTCATTGTAGCGGTATATGTTGATGACCTGTTAGTCACCGGCTCCAGCTTAGATTTGATAAATGCTTTCAAGAAAGAGATGTCGGGAAAGTTTGAAATGAGTGACTTGGGTAAGCTTACCTACTATCTTGGTATTGAAGTTTTTCAAGGAGAAGGTGGAATAGTGTTGAAACAAGAAAGATATGCAAGGAAGATTTTGGAAGAGGCTGGAATGAGTGAATGTAATGCGATTCAAACACCAATGACAGCGGGTTTAGAACTTTCTAAGGCACAAGAAGAAAAACAGGTCAATGAACTAGATTACAGAAGAAATATTGGGTGCCTTAGGTACCTACTACATACACGACCTGATCTCTCTTTTAGTGTTGGAATATTAAGCAGATACTTACAAGAGCCAAGAGAGTCACACGGGACTGCGTTGAGACAAATTCTGAAGTATATCCGAGGCACTCTTGAACATGGTCTCTATTTTAAACAAGGAACAGAGTTGGGACTAGTTGGTTACAGCGACAGTAGTCATAGTGTTGACGTCGACGATGGGAAAAGTACCGCAGGACATGTGTTTTACCTTAATGAATGTCCGATCACGTGGTGCTCTCAAAAACAACAAGTTGTGGCACTATCTTCTTGTGAAGCTGAGTTCATGGCGGCAACGGAGGCAGCTAAGCAAGCGATTTGGCTTCAAGAATTGCTAGCCGAGATCATTGGTACAATGTGTGAAAAGGTAACCATACGAGTAGACAACAAGTCAGCGATTGCATTGACCAAGAATCCGGTGTTTCACGGAAGAAGCAAACACATTCACCGGAAGTACCATTTTATACGAGAATGTGTTGAAAATGAGCAAATTGAAGTTGAGCACGTGCCGGGTGAAAAACAGAAGGCGGACATATTGACAAAGGCTTTGGGAAGAAACAAGTTTAAAGAGATGAGAGATCTCATTGGTGTTCAAGACGTGAAGAAGCTTGAGCTCAAGCTTAAGGGGGAGATTGTTGGTTTAAGCTTGAGAAGTAAACCGACAATTACTTGAACCGCAAGGCAACGGTTTAATGAAGTGATAAGGCTAGATCTTTTAGGAGTTATCTATAAGATTTAATGTAATCCTAGTCGAGTTATGATTAGGGTTTTGAGGTTTACTATATAAGCATATATCGGGTTGTGATATAGCTTATGAGAATTGAGAGAGATTAAGAAGAACTTTAGTTTGAGTTAGTTCTAAAGTTAATAAAGAAGGTGTTTTCTTAAGCGTGTTCTTAACTTCTTATTCATATTATTCAATTCTAGATGGAGTTTGAAGATTCAGCTCAAAAACATGAGGCTTGTTTTTTTGTGTTTGAGGAATCACAATCATACAACCAAAGCGTTCGTGATCAAAGGCATGGTGCATGGAGAGATGACATGATCAGTGAAGAAATTAAGATGATAGAAGTCTTTAAACCCTTGACCATATTGAGTCAATGAATTTTCACAAACTGATACTTCAATGGGTCTATACTATCAACTATAGGGATCATTTCAAATTGCAATTTATATTATAAAAAAAAAGTTATCGCAAATTCGACAATAAAACCATAAAATATGTCAGATTATTTTGATATCGATCTTGGATTAATTATACTATAATAAAGTATAATATAAAATATCAGAAAATTATTTCAAAATTATGATTTCATGCTGCCTACGATGCGAGCACGAACCTAGTATAAATGTATTATGTATATGAGAAGTTGAATCGTGTGTAAATGTAACACATACTCGTATGTACAGTTGATCATCATGTATAAATGGCGTTGAGTAACAAATTTCAAATTCAATTAAAGGAAAAAAAAAAAAAGCACTAAACCACCAGCTTCTCAATTCAGTAGTGAGAACAAAACACTACTTCTCAGAAATTTCAGAATTCAAGTTCCTTTATCTCATCTTTAGGCCAATCCTCAGCGAGATACGACCAGGAGTAGGGACATCGATCTTTGCAAATCCTACAATCTTGAGAACATCTGATAAATTTTTCAAGCTTTTGAGTGGCGGTCGTTATAACATAACCGTCTATAGATTTCACCATAGGAAGCAAATCATGCGGGAGTTTGTAAAACATTAAGAATCGTGAGGTTTCGAAGGCCGATGATTAAGCGGTAAACTGCTAGGTTACTAACCAAAGAGCACCGTAAACTCAACCTCTTGAGGCTATGGAGGTAACGCACCATTTCAATGGCCTTGTAATCTTCCAAATGACCCAAATATTTTAAGTTGGTTAGGTTACTACAACTCTCTCCCACAGCCTGAAACTCAAATGTCCCGGTGAAAGAGTGTTCATGAGCGATGATCAGTGTTTTAAGATTCTTTCATTGACTGAAAGCAAACCGCAATGAATTCTTGGTTTGATAGCACCAGATTGGTAAAGCAAGTTTCTCTATATTTGGCATCCTGAGAAACAAAAAACGTATGAGAGCGTGGCACACCATGCAAGAAAATCTGGTTAGATGATTGATGAGGTTTACTTCTCAGCAGCGAACTTGAGACCATTTTCTTGTAAATAGGAATTGAAGTTAAAGAACAAATTCTTCGGGGTCATGCAGCTCAACTTGCTGATCTCAATCAATAGATTCATGAGACTTATGCCGCCTTGTACTTCAAAATAGTCATGAAAGAACCGGGAGATGATCTTAGTCAAAAGATTATTAGAAAGGCCTTCATCGTCGTCAACCGGGTGCTTGTAATAGAAGATTGGTCGTACTTTACTCTTAAAGACAAAACTGTTGGAGATATCTAATTCTTGAAGCTTGGTGAGGTCGACCGTGTTCCACAAAGTACTTTTGTTAGAGGCAAGGAACCAAGAGATGCATACACGTGAAGCTCCCATGGTAATGTCCATCAAGTCGAGCTTATTGAAGATAAGTTCAAGAATGTCTCTGTTTACATCTGCCCATTTTGAAACTTCTCCTAAGCTATCCAAATTCTCCATCACGTTACAACTGCATACAGAAAAAAAAAAAAAAAAAAAAAAAGAAGGTTGAAAATCATTGTACATAGATAGATTCTTGAATTTACGTAAAGCTTGTACAAGAAGATAGTACTTTTCATTATAAACAAAAGAAGAATAAGTCAATAAACCCAAAATATTGTAGTGTTTTACAAAATAATGCTACAGCAATTCCATTGTTACATATTTACAACACCAAAACTGCAACTCTACTTCTTTACTTCTATTATCTATTGCTTAATCTTGTGTTTTAAAAAAAGAAGTAAACAAGCTAGATATGGTGGTACAAAACTCGCTATTCGGTCGTGATTTGAGATTCAATTATCAGCAACTTCTCTACTTAGAAAAGGTATTTTAAACTCCTTTCTCCGAAAACAATAAACAAACAGAGCAACCCATTCAAGCAAAGCATCATAGAAGGCACTATAATCAAACGAAAATAATAAATTAATAGTAATAATTCATAAATCTATAGCAAGGAGATAGAATTAAACGAACTACCTTGCTTAGCTCTTACGTTATGTTCGTGGAGAGTTCTGGACTTCTGGCTAAGAGGATAACTAGGGTTTTTTTCGTTTTGCGAAAAAGCTAACTAGGTTTTTTTTTTTTTTAATAAAGTGAAAAATACCGAAAATATCCCACACTTACGAGTTATTATTAACCACTAGAATTTAACCCGCGGTATACCGCGTGGCTATATTTTTTTTAAAAATGTAATATTATTTTTTAAAAGATTAACTAAAGATATATCATATTAATTTGTATTTTTAAATGTAGATATCTATTTATCAATTTTTGAAGTATAGATACGAAAGCATACATTTTTTTTTAAGTAACCATGTATGGTGGATTTTAAAATTTTGAATATTTTACTCTGCAGTATACCGTGGATCTGTTTTTTTATAACTAAAAATTTTAAACTTTAAGTTGGATTTGTTTTGTTAATATTGTTTCTTTTGTTTTGTGTTTAAGATTGTATAATTGTATTTTGATTGTCAATTTTAGGATTTCATCCGTGATATACCGTTATTTATTAATATCGACCCAAACCCGTCATCCCATATAAACCTGTCTATATTATCTCGTTAGCTAAATTATTAGTGTTATAAAATCCAAGAAAATAAATTATTATTGTTATAAAATCTAATAATTTTAGGATCTCACCCGTGATATACCGTTCTTTGAACGATTTTAAATTTATACTACTAATATATATTTCAAATTTATCATATAAATTATATGATTTCAAGTTTTTATGTTTTTTTTTTTAATTTAAATAAAGCAACGTCTTAAATGATGATAGATATAGTTCTTTTTTCTGTATGTGTATATGATTTTTCTATGTGAATATTTTAATTATTATAAATTAGTATTTTTATTGCTATGCAAAATGTTAATATAAATATTTGTTATAAAAACTTTTTGAAGATATATGCAAAGATTGTGTAGAGATTTTTAGAAACAAATTAGGCAAAATATTGTTTGGTTAATATCTACATATACATTTTTACAGGGGATTTTTGCAAAAAGTATTTTGGATCCGGGTTTTACCCGGGTTTAACTCTATCCGGATCTTGGATAAGGAATTTTAGGAATGATGTAATAAAAACAAACGAATATTTTGAGTATAATTGCTATAACAATTCTGTTTAATGTTTCTTTAATTACAAATAAGTTACCTATTTTAATGGTAAATAATCTTTCATATTAATGACCCTAATAAATAGCCGATTTTAATGGAAAATCGTTTTTCATATTTATGCTCATAATAAATGTCCAGATTTTAACAATATATATATATATATATATATATATATTTTAAAGAAAAAATGTATTTATTTTTTAACAATATATATATATATATATATCTATATATACATTTTTGGAGAAGATTTGGTTCAAAATATCCTTTTACAATTTTGTATTTGTACATTTAGTCCCTACAAAAATAATCTGACAAAAATATTGTATTAAGTAAATTTTACAAAACAATAAAAATCCATTAGTTTGTAAGGGGTTCAATGCTATTGATAACTCACTAAACATTCCTAATTTTTCGTAACCTCGATTTGAGTTTAAAATATATAGAAATCAAATATTTAATTTTAAATGCTATTGATAATCAAAATATCAATCATATCTACTAAATATAAACTACTAAAACAATAAAATCAAAATCAAATCTAAATTAGTATTATATAAATCGAAATTAAACGATTGATTTAGTAAATATAGAAATCATATATATTTACAGAGCAAATAGTTTCCTATTTTAATGCTAGAGATTTTATTGTATTTAACATTTGTTTCCTATAAAAATTGAACAATATTAATTGAATATCAGTCTCAAATAGACAAATTGGAAATGTCACATCACTAAACGATTTTATCCTTATTTGATCAAGCATATACATAGCATATTTTTTTGTGACGCTTTAAAGATTTTCAACGATATCAAATTCTTGCTCATCAAGATTTTGAATATTCTCTAACCTAAAACCCTACTAACTATCAAAACACTATAAATACTCACTCATTTCTCCAATCTCTAAACACAAACAAAAATCTACTGGTTTCTTGGGTGGTTTACGTGATTTGTATATCTTAAATTTGTACTCTATAAGTATGGATCTAACTTTATGCTGTACATTGCTTTGGATTTTTCAAGAGAATGGATATCAGTTGCTGTTTCTGAGCGCTCGTGCCATCGTTCAGGCATATCTAACGAGAAGTTTCTTAAATAATCTGAAGCAGGTAAGAGTGATATCATTTTATGATCGATATCCCTCTGCTACTTATGGAATCATGTTTTCTTACTGGCTGCAGGACGGAAAAGCTCTACCAAATGGCCATGTGGTCATTTCACCAGATGGCCTATTTCTAGCATTGTACCGTGAAGGTTAATCTTTATACCCTTCAAGATTCATTTAATTGCAGCATCTTTACGGTTTTTCCATTCAATAGTAAATATCTTAAATATACACAAACAAAAAGACAGACCAAATTATTTATTGATTCTGTGATGAGTCAAAATTATTGGAGAAGAAAGGAAATTGCTGATGTTGACCAAATTGGTTTCTTGTGTGGTTTACGTGATTTTGTTGACTAGATCGATATAATTTGTGATTTGTGAATTTGTGAACCAACTTTAGGCGTTCACGTTCTAAAGAAAATAAATGTGCATCGGCCTATTTCAATACTAGGGTCTATATCCTTACCAAAAAATAGTTTAAAGTAGTTATAATATTTAAATTTTATAAAAAGTTTATAATATTAATAATATTTGAACTTTATAAAAATTAAAAATATATATAATATAGAAACCATTTAAAGCAAACTTTTAAACTAACTCAAATTATATATCTTTTTAAAGAAATATATATTTTTTTTGTCAACAACTTTTAATTAAAAATTCAAAATAACCATTCCTGAGGAATGTTTTTTACATATGTGATGTGATGCAGTTTGGTACGAACTTTTAAAAAAATATTAATAAAAAGAAAATTAACAAAATGATGTTTAATTTCACGGGACGGAGTTATATGGTGGGACGGGTTTGGATCGATATTAATACGGGATAGTATACTACGGGTGAAATCCTAGATAGAATTATTGAAATACAAATATGTATTTTGAGTCGATATTAAATCTTTTATGAAGTTTCAAATATTATAAATATTTGAACTTTATAAGAATTTATAAGAAGTATAAACATTATAAATATTTACAACAAATACAATTATGTAATACTAATTTTATTTTGAAGTCTTTAAACATTATAATGTTCTTGGTCAACCAGTCCGAGTCTTTAATCTTAAATACTAAACAAAACAAATACAACTTAAAATTTAATATTTTTTCAAAAACGCATCTCGATTCTTTTATAAGAAGTTTAAACATTATAAATATTTAAACTTTATACTACGGGTGAAATCCTAAAATTGACGGTTTTGGATTGATATTATTACGGGATAATATAGTACGGGTGAAATCCTAGAATTTACAATCAAATAAAATTAACAAAACAAATATAACTTAAAATTTTTAGTTATAAAATATCATTTCGCGATGTACTATACATTTAAATCAAACAAAACAACATCATATATCTATAGATCATCTTAAAAAAACATTGAATATTTATTTAATAAACATATAGGCCCGCGGTGTACCGCGGGTTAACATCTAGTCTTTTATATAAATTTTGTAAAAGTAATAATAAATGTCAATGACATTCTTTGTAAATACTGCCCAACCCCAGGATTTATTTGCTAAAAGTGTTCCAAAAATGTATATATAGATACTACAGTAAAACTTCTATAAATTAATACTCTATAAATTAATAACTTTTCTAAATTAATAAATTCTTTCGGTCCCGAGTTAGGACCTGCGTAAAATATGACATAAATCGATAAATTAATAAGATAATAATTTTTCTGAAAATTCCATGTAAACATATAGTCACATCTATATTATAAATTAATAATTATAGAAACTTATCAATATATATATATATATATATAGATATGTATATTTAACATAATATATATATATATATATGATAGAAATTTATACATGTCATATATGAATTACTATGATATATATTTAAAATATTATATGTAAAAATTTTAATGAAATATGACTCTATTATTCGAAAAAATTTTGTGTTATTTTTTAAACTTAATAATTGCTTCTCTACTTGCAATTGGTTTTAAACAGATATTACTTATAAAGAAAAATTTTATTTTAGATATAAATTAATAAAATTTCATATTCCCAACATTATTAATTTATAGAGGTTTTACTGGGCCTGGTGCCTCTCTACTTCAACTTATAAAGTGCAGCAGGGGAGACGTAGAGATATTTGGTCAGGACCATGACGACAAGTCAATCCAAGAAGAGCAAAATAGAGAACAATTCTCAGTCTCTCGAAATCTCGAGAGAGAAGAACTTCAATGACGTTCCTTTGGACGTTGCGATGGAGATATTTATGAGATTGCCTGTGAAATCAGTAGTTAGGTTTCTCCTACTCTCAAAGTTTTGGGCCGACATTATCCGAAGTTGACATTTCATCACGTCTTTCCAGGTTAGGTCTTCATTGCAGTCTCGTCTACTAGTCGTGTTTATTGATTTAGATAGACAACGGAACTGCGAAAATTGGTACTTCTTTTCGCTGTCTTCATCATCAACGTCTTATCTATCACGTGTTACATGTCTTTCTCCAGATTATGTGTACTATACTTATTATGTTAATGGCTTGATAAGCTTTGGATATGGTCTAGAGAAATACATAGCTAACCCTAGCACCGGTAACCCTAGCACAGTTTTAGGTAGGGTCCAAACCAGGAGTACGGTCGCACATAGTTTTTTCGGGTACGATCCGGTTAATGATGAATACAAACTATTGGTATTGTGCATGAAGGAAAAAATGCAACGTCATGATGGTCGAACTCGAATATTACAAGTTACAACTATCATCTCAACATCAAGTAGTCACATTGGGAATTGAAAAGAAACAATGGAGAATGATTGATTATAGAACTCCTCACGGTCCTGTGCTTAACAGTGTGTGCATAGATGGAGTTATATATTATGTTGCGTTTACGGGCACTGATTTGTCACAGCTGAGCTTAATGAGATTCGATTTGGGGTCTGAAAAGTTGGATCTTTTTACTAGTTTATCCGCGGACTTTCCAGCTGCATTTCTACATGGTTTCAATTTGATGAGCTACAAGGGGAAAGTAGCCTTAGCCACTAAAACTTCATTTAATGAATTTGAAGTGTGGATTTTGGATCAGCAAGTCGAAACTCATGGATGGTTGAAGAAAAGTTTCAGTATCAAAGGTAAGAAGTTGCTATATTCTGGTTTATTTATCACAGGCACTACTCATACAGGTGAGTTTGTTTTGGCACTACGGTTCTATTCTAATAACTTTTATGTTATCTATTACAATCCCGACACGAAAAGTTTTAGAAAAACCAAGGTTCAAGTACACGCAGACTATGAGTTCAAGCATCGGGAAACAAAAGCAATGTTTTTTCGGATTATGTAGAGAGTGTTAGGTTGTTGTAGGAGAGAGTTTCATGCTTTGATACATATAATACTTGAAATGTTTTTTTTTTTAAATATATATAATTAATCAAGAGTGATCCGGGCTCTTATTAATCAGTTAATTCCTTCAGAGTGAGTGTAACCTTCGATTAACCCATTTACCAAGTTTTCTAATAGGTTCATGTCATTATTTCAACTGGCCAAATAGAGTGAATATAATATGGGTTATATTAATTGATATGCCCAGACTATCCAAAAATTAAGTATCTATGCATAATAATATTATCTACTATACATTTTTGCAACACTTTTTGGGGTTCCTAATCGGGTCTGATTTTATTCAATTTTGACCCGGAAATTAAATGATTTCGACACGGAAATATGCCAATCGGATCCTTCCATTTTTGATCTTTTGACCCGAATTTGTTTGAATCGGATGATTCCTTAATCGATTCTCTACATTAAATCCCCGAAAATCTCTATTTAGTTTGGATCCAAAAATTCAATTTAACAATATTTGATTTCCTAATATTACCTAATAAAGATAATCAATCAACAAAATCTTTCATACCATATAATGTGATTTTAAACAACTAACCATATGTAAAATCGTTTAAATGTCAATCATTAAGTAAAGATTCCGAATCTTAAAGATTATTACCTAAATTGCAATCACCATTTGATAATTATCCAATTATACAATAATTTATTCTTACCAATTTCCATCTTTATAAAATGTAACGATAATCGCATATATTTGTAGATTCTTTTTACGCTAATACTTTTAACAATTATTATACATGCAATCGAGAGAATATAGCAAATTAAAACTGTTTTCAAAACTCACGCTCCTTATTAATGACATATTCCTTATCTAAATACTAAATTCTCTACATCATTCTGTAATTCGGTAATAGTGATATTTTTAAAGTTTGTAAATTTGCCTAACAAGATTTTTGATAATCACTCACGCATATCCCTCACATCTTATTAGACCACTATATATACGTTTTATTTTCAGCAGCTATGAACATCGACTCCCAAAAGCGAGTCTATTATACCATCACCTCTATTATATAACCATCTTTACAAAGGTACGTTGATTTTCGATTTGTTAATTGCTCTTACTTACCTTTTTCTGGGTCTTCTCTGTGTACATACGGAGGTAGCAATCGCGAGTTAATACAGATTTTGCAAGATCCATTTGCAGAACAATGGTTTGATGAAAATCTGGAGATTGCACGAAGATCTAGCGCCGGCTGTGCATGGTGGCAGAGCAAACAGAAGAGCTTTAGGTTTTCCGATCAATTTTGGTCGGTGATTAGAGTTTTTGGATCGAGAATGGGGCAGTTATGGAAAAAGAAAAGTGACTTATCAATTAAGTGGGTCACTTCCAATTATTAGCTTTGAGCCCAATACTTTCTCTATATGTGTATGTGTATCTCATTTAATCTCTTTTGAAGTGGACGAATTAAGATGTGGTTTTTGTTTTTGTTTCTTTTGAATTTGCATATATTTGTTTCCAAAATATGATAAGATGCAAAACTGAGAAAATTTCACCATTCTAAAGGGTAAAGTATTTCTAAGATATGAAAAATTAAAATATTTATACCAATTGAAAAAAAAATGTAAACTGGGTTGTATACTAACTATGATTTAATTTGCGTTTTACTATGGGATTATTTTTTGGTTTTATACAATTTATAATTAAAAATTTGTTGGCTTAATAATCTATATATTAATATAACAAACAAAGATACTTGCCATAAACTAATGATAGTCCAAAAATAGCCCAAAGTGTAATTATTTTATTTGTCTTTCACTAAGTTTTAGTTAGTTAGACTGAAACTTTTAAATTGACTTGAATTATATATATTTTAAATAAAAATACTGTGGAAGTCGAAACTAACACAATCGAGATTTGTCTAGGGTTTTATTTTAGGGATACGATAAGCGTGAATTCTCAAAGAACAACAGAAAACAATTGTAACCAAAGATGGTGTTCTTGATTTTATTGATAAAAAGAGTAGTTTTGATCGTACAAGAGTTTGATCGTAAAAGAAAAAGGTGTTCGTGCTGTAAGAGCTTTGTGTAGTATAAATTCTAGAGCGATATTGCTTGTTTTCCTATGAGAGCCTTGAGTCTCTTTATATAGCGATCATAAACCGCCTCTCCAGCGATATTCTCGGAAGATTTCCATTTATCTTGAAGTCGGCTTAGAGTATCGCGGATTTAGGATAATTTCCTTATTCTTCAGAGTTTCTTGGAAGATTTCCTGATTCGAGTTGATCCTTCGAGGTTCTTCCTTATCATTTCTGGGTCTATCAGAAATGATCCTTCTTTTTCGGAAATGACGCCTTGCCTGGAAATGGTACTTTGAAGACGAATAGTTACTAAGTCTTTGCCTCGGGTGATGATGGAGACTTAGCTTCGGATAACTTGTGCAATCGGCTCGGAGATAAGAGAAGCGCGGCCCGGGTTTCCGAGGGAAAGCGGCTCGGGCACACAGAAGGAGCCAGCTCGGGCGTCCTGGCGTGAACCAGCTCGGGTACTCGAAGAGAGCTGGCTCGGGTTCACAAGCTTGCTGGCAGATCCCGAGCAGGCTACGGGCGTTGATATGATCATGGATACGCAAGCTTTGGATGAGGTTCCCGAGGAAGCATTGATCGTTCCCGAAGGCCCCATGACGCGATCCAAGACAAGGAAGCTAGCCGGAGCTGTTTGGAAAGTACTTGGCAACGTTAGGAACAAGGAGGAAGACCAACTTACGCAATGCACCTTCACCTCAATATCATTTGTGGATTCATCTTGAGGTTGGCCGCAAGCTAAGTTGTTGTACTCTTTTTCCTATACTCGGTTTTGTCCCAATGGGTTTTCCGAGTAGAGGTTTTAACGAGGCAATGACTTATGCTTACCATGGACGGTCCAAACTCATGTGAATTGCATTTATATTATGGTTGGAAATAAATCAAAAGGACATGACCAAACCCATGGAACATTCTCGCCAACTTGGAGTCCAAGGGTCATTCAAACTCTAATTTATTTTAGTCTTTGGTCTTAGTCTTTGTTTTCATTTTCAAGGTAGTCTTGTTGACTAGCCTCTTCTCATTCTTCTTCTTATAAACTCATGTAATCCTTTCATTTCAATAATAATCTTTTATCTAAAATTTTTTTGAGAAGTTTCTCTCTTGTTCTTTGTGAACTTTTTCGATCTCTTTGGTGGTTAGCCAACGAAATCACTTCGATCATTGGGTGGTTAGCCTCTTGATCTCAATCGATTCCAAGGTGGTTAGCCGAAGAGTCACAACCGTTCCTTAGGTGGTTAGCCTACGGTTCAAACCAGGTTTACCGAGTGCCGTTCATAGCCCTCGATGCAGCCATTCACTTTCCTCGCCTTGTTCATCCAAGGATCTATCCATTTCAATACCAACAAGAGTGTGCAATCTTTGGGAGTTCGTATCAAGCGTTCCCCGAGGCGACCGTTGTACTGACCCGAGGTGAATGGCACTTTGCACCGAGGTGATGGCTTGCTTCCTCCGAAGTGGTTGGTACGCTTCCCCGAGGTGCCTTCAGAAGTTCCCTGAGGCGTCCAAATCCGGCTCGGTGCTAAGGGATGGAATCCGACCCCAACAGTTAGCCCCTCAGCTCTTTGATTTGAGGAGCAAACGATGAGCTTCACGACTGTTAGTCCGAGCCGTTTTAAACTTTGTTCCGAGCCCATCCTTGTATGCCGAGGAGTTTCTCCATGTTTCAAAGATGGTTTGTGTCCCTCGGCGATCCTTATTCTCTTGACGATTTGAATTCCCTTGACGTTTCGTCTTCTTCTAGCGTGTGACGGTTGAGTTTCCTTCTCGAGAAGTGAAAAAGTTTTCGCTTATTCCCGAGATTTCGGCGGACGTGAAACTCTCTCCGAGCTCACGCGCGTCTGACGCGCCGAAGTGTTCTATAAATACTTGTCTCACGATTTGTTTCTTCAGTTCAGCAATTTTTCAGCAAAAATCCAAAGGTTCGTTTCTTTTGCTCTGATCTTGATTTCTCTCTTAGTTTCTTTTTCCATTTTATCTTCCGTCGCGTCTCCGCCGTGGTTAGGTCTAGATTTGATTTTGCCGATCTCCTAGGTCTTGTTTTTTCAATCGTTCTGAGCCAGAGAATGTCCCTTTCAGACTCAAGTGATTCATCCCGAGGTAGAAGTATCCATGTTCATATGCGAAAGATGGTTTGGAGTAGTTCAGATGGATCCAAGGCCAGTTCATCAGATCGACCCGAGCCGAGCAGCGGAGCGGAGTCGTCATCTGAGCAACGAGGAGATCCGAGCCAATTTGTGGCTCGGGAAGATACAATTGCTGATATAGCTCGGGATGAGGATCTCCCTGATAACCCTGAGGCGGTCTTGAATAGGAGGACGCGTCCTCCGGCTTCGGACGAGGCTGGTGCTTCTTGTTGGCAAGATGTGCCCGAGCTGCCGATTTTACCCGAGGTGAAGGGCGAAATGGTTGCTTATGATCCCGAGGAGGGAGCCAGGCTCCTTCAGTTTGCAATTCAGGGTGCAATGGCTCAAAGGAAGAAAACTCGAGCCAAGAAAGTGAAAAAGCCTGATCCCCCTGGTTCCACTCTGTCGACTTCAGACTCGCTTCGGGATCTAAAGTCACGTTTTAATTTTGGCGAAGGGGTGACTCTGCGATTGCTCACCCCTAATGAGAGAGCCGACGATCCTCCCGAGGGGTTCTTCACCTTGTACGAAGGATTTTTCTATTTTTGCTTCCTATGGTTCCCGATCCCGAGGCCGATCATCGAGTATTTATGGTCGTACAAGCTTGCTCTGGCCCAGATCACGACCCGAGGCCTTCGACATTTGGTTGGGATCTTGGTACGTGGATTCGAGACGTACAATAATGTCAGCCTTGATCATCTGAGGAATTTGCTTGAGATTCACCGTGTTCCGAGCTGCGAGATGGAGAGGTACTATATTTCTCCTCGCCCGAAGCGGAGGGTTATAGGTGGCTTCCCGAGCAAAGATGAGAAGTACAGTGATCATTTTTTCTTCGTTGCCCTTGATGAAGACTGTGTTCCCGAGGGTTTCCTTGGAAAATGATTGGGAAATAGAGAAAGATTGGTAGTTTATCCGAGATTTCTGCTTGTTTTGTGTTATAACTTGATTGCCTTAACTAACGTCTTTTTCTTTTTTGCAGACCGCGGCCCGAGCTTCTTGGATCGTATTCCTGAGGACCTTTTCAGTGTTCGTGAGGAGTTGGCTGCTCAGAAGTGTCATTGGATCAAGCACTTCTCTCAAGCAAGGGTTGAAAACGCGTTGAGGATTCTTCACGGCGCGTCTTGCTCTGCTTCCTCATCTTCTTCCGATCAGAGGCTAGGTTTTTTAACAGAAATGCAAGGAGTCAAGATGTCTCTGAGGGAAAAGAAGGCCGCCGAGAAGAAGGCGCGCGAAGAGGAGCGGATGATCAGAGCAGCTTTCGAGCCTGTAAACCCGCCCGAGGCGGTTGGAGGGAACGAGACGACCGTTGACCCCGAGGTGATTGTCGATTCTGTGGGAGTCGACTTGACCATTACCGCGGCTCTTTCCGAGGTGCCCGAGGGTATCCCACTCGGGGATGTTGCCGACCGGGTTCCCGAGGCGGGAAATGCTCTGGTGGTTGGTTTGCCCGTTGGTGGGCAGATGAAGTCCAAAGGGAAACGTTCCCGAGGAGAGCATTCTACGGACGGGCGCAAGAAGTCGAAAAAAGCTCATAGCTCTTCTCGCCCAATCTATCACGATAAGGTTGCTTCTGCCAACCTTATTGCATCCTGTGCCTGGCCGTTGCTTCCCGCCCCTGAGGGTTTGGTCAAGGCGGAACGATATGGCGAGACCGCGGCCAATTTCTTGAAGGTATTGACTTATTTTTCGTCCAAGATAAACCAGCTTTGTTTCATACTTAACGCGTCTTGTTTTCCAGGCCTTTTCGTCGATGAACACTATGGTTCATTCCTACGATTCCGCGGCCCGTGAATGCGCCGTGGCGAGGGAGCAATTCGAGGCTGCTCGAACCGATGCAGAGAGGAAAGCGACCAAGGCGATTCAAGCAGTGCAAGCTGCCGAGGCTCTGATTATGGCCGAGCGGGAAACGCGGCGAAAGGAGGCCGAGAAGAACGTTCGTATCCGTCAGAAGGCCGAGGCGGAAATCGAGCGTCTTAAGCGCTTGCTCACCGAGGAGAAGGCTCTTCGCGAGACCGAGGTGGCTCGAGCAAGGAAGGCTGGCGAAAGGAAGATCGCCGGAGAGTTCGACGAGAACGTCAAAATGACCGAGGCGAAACTGGCAGAGTTCGGCAAAGTCTCTGAGCGGTATGTATACTTTCTTCAGGCGAAGGCCAACGCCGAACTGATCGAAGCGCTCGAGGCCGGGGGAAAGATCGAAGATGAAAAGGTCGAGGTCGCCAAGTGGAAGGATGAGTATGGAGATGCGGAGGCTGAATACGTCAGGCTGGGGGCCGAGCTTCTCGGG